GTCGCCCGAAATTTTAAGACATGTTGCCTGAAATCCTAAGTCATGTCGCCCGCAGAAACAGTTACCTATAAGATAAAATAGGAAATACAGTTGAGTAATCTTTGTCCCTCAAGCAGTGCTCGTTTCTGACAACACCATGAAGATGATCAGATGGTCAGAACTGGAATATGTTTGAGTAACGATTCTAAAAGCGTTGTTCGTTTCTAACAACAAAGTGAAGCGTCGTTCGTTTGGTATGCAGTCGTTTCGTACCCACGGACGTGATAAAAGGGAAGGGCGACACTATTTAGGATTTCGGCTGAGATGACTTTCAGACGACTTGACTGTGAACTGCCTGTCAGTGTAATAACATAACAACAAAAATTGTGACTTTTAAAATGTCTGTGCGAACTCAGCTTAATTACTTAAAACCACTGATCGCAGTTGCATTTTTCTCATTACAATAGAAGGGAAAAGTATTTTAAAATCAATACGCCTGTCACAATTCTATTTTATAAACAAATTAATGTAAAATTCATTTTACAAGTGTCAGTTTATCTGTGTATAATTTTCCGATTTGTCTTCATTACCGTGGTTTCCTTACATTTTCAAAAATAAAAAGCGATGTCAGCACGGAATTCTTTTTACAGTGAAAACTATTTATTGTAAATTGTATTATTTAAAATTTATGATATACATGTTAGGTCTGATGAACACCAATAACTACCAAAAATTGCATTGTACAACATTAGGAGTTTCAATAAAAGCCAGTTCCCAGCGGTTTACCGCTGCCTGTTAGACCTCGTACGTCGTCTGTTGAGCCTGCGCGCGGGCTCTCTTATTTGGGTTTCGCCTGATGGCACTTTTTCGGCACATCTACCAATTAGTTACACCATTGGCCTCCGCTTATGGCAAAAAGTTATTGAAAGGCCTGTATAATATACTGGATTCGCTCGGACGAAGCGCTAGTGCAAGAAATGTTAGCTTTGGAAACTCTTTACGCGGGAAGCTAATTACATTAACCATTGATAAAATCAAATCATCTTGCATTGTAATCCCTCCCTCCCCACCCCTCCCCTTCACCGGCGCAGCACCACGGTGTTTTAGAAACTCACCCCCTTTACACGGAATTTGTATCTACCAGTCATTTTTAGACGGCTAAAGAAGTGGGATGGGGGATTAATTCTTCCATTTGTTAAGCCACTAAGTCAAAATTTTTCAATTAACTTTTTCACGCAGCTAATGACAATTAAAGATATTGAAACGTTTCTTTCACATACGAGCAAGCACTATATTACGCGTCCAATTGTGCGAAATACTCAAAATACAGATGTATTATGTAAAAAGAAGTATTATGTAAAAAGCGGAAAAAAATAAGTACACTGACATAACCAGTGACACTGTTTTCCTGAGCTTCTAACTTGTTCGCGCTGCACTCCATGCGCATGCGCATGCAGTATTGTTAGGCAAATCTTCGGCGACATGGACTGTCCTGGTCATGGCAAATGTAAGTCTAACTCTCAAGCTGAACCACATTATATTTTTTGAGCCAGCTAACCACAGCACTGTAATATCTATTTTCATACGACACGTTTTATGTGGTTGACCATCAGAACAAACACTACTTCTGTTTGCTGCGTTCGCGACGTCGTCGAACAGTTATCGTTATTATTGTCCACCTTTATTACTTTTTTCATCGCTTAGGAAGAAGCAGCTTGTTCTCTTGTCGCTTCTTTTCCAATTCGCCGTTAGTTAAATACCTCGGGATTTTTTTACTTCTGAAATTGCAGCGGTGAAAGTGGAGTTGGTAAGACTACATCTGCACGGCACGTGATCCTGATTGTATCATGATGAAGTTTCTGGCCGAGGATCCGAAAGAATACAGGCAAATATGCCTTTAGCTCTGTGACTGCTGATTATTTTTTCTCTTAAGTAACCACGGATACTAAAGAACCTCTTTTATTTGTTTTCTGTTT